ACCATGATGACCCAGAATTAATTCATCCAGCAAATACAGACTGAGAACCTGTTATATGCCAAGCATGGTGTAAGGCTCTGGGGAGCCAGAGATGAAGTATGCAGAACCTCTGCTCTCAAAGACACTCATTCATTCGTGCATGCATTTGCTTAGTCAACAGCGAGCACCTACCATCATCAAGGTCCTGAGAGAATGCAAAAGGACAAAAGGCGTGAAGGTGAACTCCCGGAAAGTCAAAGCTAGAAGAGAGCAGATTGGGCACCAGCCCAACCCTCCCACTTTACAGATGGGCAAACTGAGGCTTGGAGAGGTTAACAATTTGTTAGTCTCCGCCTCCCAATTTTTTCTCCAGTGTTCTTGTGTGGCTCCAGGCCCCCAGCACCCCTTGCCTCTGAGGGTCTTCATCATCAGGTACCCCAGACCCCTCTCAACCTGGGCCTCCAGCAGGGGGCTGGGCCCTCCCATCCACAGTGTTGTGGAGGCAGGGGTGCATTCTGGGGCCAAAGCACCAGACTCTCTATCTAAATCGGGAAAACTGTGGGGAAGTAGGACGGAGAGAGGTGCTGAGAACTATTTAGCTCCAGCCTGGACTGAACCAGCCATGAAGTATAGACCTGGATTCAAATCCCAGCTGCAGGACCTACTCCCTGATGACCTTGACTAGGTTTCCTAACCTCCCAAGCCTCCCTTTCTCTTCTGTAAAATGCAGACAGTAGTGGTAGCTGCTTCCCAAGATGGTTGTGAAACCTCAGGGAAACTCTGTGATGAAAAGTGAGCACATAGTAAGTGCTCAATAATGCTGGTGCCAGAACCCCCATCTTCAGAGCTGCACAGCTCAGGGACACTTCCAGGAGTTGTATGGCTGACTGTCTTCGTGTCAAGGACACCAGGTCCCTGGGGAAGAAGCTGAGGCAATCGGGAGCATGGGCTGCAGTCCAGGGGTATCTGGTGCTCAGTGGAGAAGCCAATGGGCTGCATTAGCACAGAAAGATGTCTCACCCAGCAGAAGCCGAAGGAAGGCAGCATCTGGGTACCTGGAAGAGCCCTAGCACATGCAGTTGGCTGCCTAAGGACCTGTCAGTAAGCAGAGCCATATCCTGGGCACCCAGGCAGAATTTCTTCTTAGGTATTAGTGGGGAGGAGAATGAGGGAGCAGCTACTGACCTTCCTTTTAGTCTTAAGAGTCATGCGGGTGATGGGATAAAACCTCCTATGGTATCTGCCCAGCCCACAACTCATCCTTCTCTGAGAACTAACCCCTCCCACAGAGAGAGGTGGCTGCAGCAGACATATTTTATCCATAAACCCCATCTCTCCAGCTAAACTGATTGGACCACGCTGGGCCAATCAGATTCCCTCTTTTTTTTTTTTTTTTTTACAGTTTTATTGAGATGTAGTTTATTTACTGTAGAATTCACCATCTCTAGGTCTATCATTCAATGGTTTTCAGTATATTCACAAGGTTGTACAACCATTACCACGAACTAGTCCCAGAACATTTTCATCACCCCAAAAAGAAGACCGTATCTTTGCATTTGGATTATTTCCATTTGGGCCTATTATTAATACTGTTGCTATGAACACTCACATACAAGTTTCTCTATGGACATATGTTTTCATTGGTCTTGGATGTATACTTAAGAATGGAATTGCTGGTCATACAGTAACTCTATGTTTAACCTTTTGAGAAACTGCCAAGCTGTTTTCCAAAGCAGCTGCACCCTTTTACATTCCCACCAGCAGCGTGGAAAGCTTCCAATTTCTCTACATCCTCACCTACACTTGTTATTACCTGTCTTTCTGATTATTTTGTCTTTGTATTATTGAGTTGTTAGAGTTCTTTATATATTTTAGGTATGAGTCCCTTATCAGATATGTGATTTAAAAATATTTTCTCCCATTCTGTGCGTCGTCTTTTTACTTTCCTAATGGTGTCCTTTGTAACACAAACGTTTTTAATTTTGAGGAAGTTCAATTAATCCATTTGTTGCTCTTGTTGTTTTTGTTGCTTGTGTTTTTGGTGTCATACCTAAGAAACCATTGCCTTATCCAAGGCCACAGAGATTTTCATATATGTTTTCTTCTAAGAGTTTGATAACTTTGGGCTCTTACATTTAGGTCTTTGATCCATTTTGAGTTAATTTTTGTCTACGGTGTGAGACAGGGATTCAATTTCATCCTTTGCATGTGGATATCAGCTGTCCCAGCACCATTTGTTGAAAGACTATTTTTCTCCATTGAATTGTCATGACATATTGTACTTGTTGAAAATCAATTGACCACAAATGTGAGGGTTTATTTCTGGACTCTGAATTCTATTCCATTGATCTGTATGTCTATCTCTATGCCATTACCAAACTCTCTTGATCGCTGTCACTTGGTAGTAAATTTGAACTCACAAAGTACCGTCCTCCAACTTTGTTCTTCTTTTTCAAGATTATCCTTGAATTTCCTTAAGAATTTTAGGATCAGTTTATCAATCTTCGCAAGGAAGGCAGCTGGGATTTTGATGGGGATGCATTTCCAGTTCCTGTTCAACGCCCCCTGAGCTCTAGCTCCACCTCCTCCCTTTGGGTTCCCTGAGGCACCTGGGATTTTTTTCCATAAACTCCATCTTTTGCTTAACCAGATTTCACTGGGTTTTTGTTTCTTGCAATCAAAAGAATCTTAACCAAGTACAAGAGGGAACACAGTCCTACACACTGTCCCAAACAACCCTCTCAACACCACCTCCCCAAGGCCTAAGACCTCAGACTGTCCCCCACACGCCCAGAGAGCCCACTGGGGTCCCAATCTCAACACTGGCCCATGACCCCAGCCCTTCACTCCACCTTGTAACTAGTTCCTTTGCAGGTTACATGTATCATCTTTACTAGTTAAAACAAACAGCCCCTCAATAAACGCTTGTGAAATTGAACTAGATGTCCCAAGACGGTACCAAAAAACCCCACTCCTACCACTCTACACCCCTTGTAACTCAGCTTCCTAACTAGCATCTCATGCAATACGCAGATAGGAGGCTCTAGGAAGGCCAGACATCGCTGTGCCCACTGGACAAAGGATACGGAAACTGAAGTCCAGAGAAGTTAAGTGTCTTGCCCATGAGTGACTTGCCCTAAATGCTGGACTGCCCTGATGCACACCCCACGCCAATCAGCACAGGCACAGACAGGCCCATTGTCCCGCCCCATCTTTAAGAGCTACTTTAGAAGCTACCTCCTCCGGGCAGTCTTCCAAGACTGCTCCCACTACATCCCTGGCATCAACTCTACAGAGAGACTGAAAGCTCTCAGAGGGCAGGGACAGTTTTCCATCCATCCCTGCCCTGCTAACTTCCCACCCTCACCCTTCTGAGTAAAACAAACGTGAGTGGGAAGCTTCCTTGTTTTGACCCCCCTTAGATGCCAACTCGCAAGACAGGCTGTGCTCTGCCCAGGGAAGTGTACCCAGGGGATGCTCAGGCAGTGCTGGCAACTAAATGGCATGGCAGAGAGAGGCCAGCCTGGAAAACCTTTCAGCTGAGATGGGGGAGTTACAAGCAGGTGGGGCTGCCTCCAAAGGAGGACACTTAGTAGAGGAATTTTTCATGCTTGAGCCAATTCACGTGTTGCAGGATAATTTTTTTTTTTTTTTTTTTTTTTTTTTTTTT